TATTTGTGTGTGTATCTATATGTATGTGTGCTGTTCGAAGAGAAAATGCAGCAGCAGCAGCAGCAGCTGTATGAAGAGTTGTAGAGAGCTGCATTCAAGTTACAGTAACTGTAATTCTGTTTTGCAAGTTTTTCAATATCGATTTAAGTAGCAGAAGCTGATTCCCGTTGCCGTTTTTCTAATATATTTTTTTACAATATTTCCTCAGAAGTTTTGTTTATGGAAAATTGTCCGTCGTGTTCATTTCCAGCAAACAATATCTATAATTCTTTACCGTAAAAGTTTTATATAATTTAATTTTTTTCCCCACTAAGCTAAGTAAATGAGTTTTGTCATTGTGTTGATAGCTAAGTATTTAATATCGCATAAATAATTTTTCTGTTATCTACAAAACATTGAAATATTTTGCAGATTTCAAGTTGTGAAAAATTAAATTTTTATCTCCTTATTCGAAATTATTTCTCATTCCCGTTGAAATGAAAAGCCATTTAATCTTTCAATAATACATTATATGTATTTTAAAGAGAAACGCATTTGAACTTTTTTCCAGCGCAATGGAGAATTCTTTGGTAATAGTCGAGTAAATCGAAAAGTTTGTCGGATTAACTTCAAAAAACAAAAAACATTGAGAATAAAGAAGAAAAAAATTTTAAAAACTAAGAAAATTGAAAAAAATAGTATTAAAAATTAAAAAATAAAATAATAAAAAAAAAATAATATAGTAAAAAAAAATAAAATACGAAAAGATAAAAATGCAAAAGTTAAAAAAAAAAAAATTATATAAAAAAGTAAAAAAGTATTTATGTTTGACATTAAGTAAAATAAGTAAAAAACAAAAAAAAAAAATAATAAAAAAAAGAAAAAAAAATTTAAAAAAGGTTAAAAAATATGAAAAAAAAAATTAAAAAAAAAAAATAAAAATAAAAAAAATTAAAAATAAAAAAAATAAAAAAATAAAAATGTTAAAAAAAGAAAATACTGTATTTATCAAAAAAGTAACAAAAAAGTATTTCTGTTTTACTCTAGGTAAAAATAGTAAAAAAAAGAAAAAAATATATGAAAATAAAAAAAAAAATTAAAAAGAAAAATTATATAAAATAAAGTAAAAAGAGACAAAAACAGTTTAAAAAAATTCAAAAAACAAAAAAATACAAAGTGAATTGGGGATACAATGAAGTCAGTAACTCACAAGTTCTTTAAATTGTATGAAAAGATCGGAGTTTTATAACCCACATCAAGAAATATTTGCCTAAATCCAACGGAATAATGTCACATCTTTAAAATTAGTCACTCACAGTCATTTTGACAGAGGCGATTATTATAACCATAAATGAAGAGCTTATTGGATCAAAATTAAATTACTCACTTGCTGGAATGCCTTTAAAAACATAGATAAGTGATCTTGCGGTATCGCTAAATCTGCTGGTTAAAGCTTATATAAGCAGAAGTTGTGATCAGAAGAACCTGCTTCACTGCATCTATCCATTTTTGTCAGCACCTTGATACGTTCATAATTGATAGATGCAAATCAGCAAATTATTTGGAATAACAATGCTGACAATCTGGTTCTGCAGGCTACTTCAAAGTGAGTATGTAAAGGAAAGCCATGAGAAAATATTAAAAGAAAAAGATTATCTAGATATGCTAGTGGCTGGTCTAAAATAATAAATATATAAAAAAGAGAGCGCAAGACAACTGCCAATATCTACAAATCTCAGATGACACTTACTGATGGAAAAGTACTTAACGCTTTAACTTGTACGTCATCAACTTAGTGCTGCCCAATATGTGCGGTTAAAGAAAAAAAAAAATTTCTCGAAACCATTGATCTTGACTCCGAAAGTTTTAAGCCAAAACTTGAACTCTGAAAGATAGTGTCAGTCCATTTCATGACCAGATTCGGGTTTTTTACCTTGTTTTAAACATATCCTATAGATTTGATATTCAAAAGTGGCATATTACCTAGGCTAACAAAACCAAATTGATGACTCGGAAAAATGAAATTCAGGAGATGATGTGGTCAAAAATGGGATTTGCATGTAAGAATTCCCAAGCAAAATGGAATATGTAGTAATCAAGAAGAAGCATTCGCGAATTACCAGTTGTTTTCATCAATTTCGAGTTTAATCAAAATATTGCATACAATTTGTATGTGTTTTTATGTAGTTTTGATCACTATTTCATGCGAACATTTCAGTGATGTTGATAAATTCAAGGGATTTTGTAAAGAAACATTTTTATGATTTCTTAATACTTATCCTTGGTATCCTTTGTCATCGACGGTATATAAAAGATTAGTAATAAACATGTCATTGGTTCCGGTGGGATGCGGAACGGCATTCGGTGAAGAGCCATTAAGCCGAATATCTTCCCGATAGCTCAGAAAATAATGTCACATGACACAGAAATTGAAACAGATCCCAATATTGAAGTTATAGTATCACAAGACCATGTAGTTTGGGTTGTAGATCGATAATTTCGAATTCTTGAAATCAGCTGGGCCTGATGGGATTTTTCCGACTTTCCTTCAGAAATCCTTGACTAACATTCAAAGTCTGAGCAGATTTTAATAACATTCAGCCGAGTGCCATTAATTTCATATGATATCTCTCTAGTGAAATTAATTAAACAGATGCTTCTAGGCAGGTTAATAATTTCAACCTTGATACACATCTTTACAAAGGGCTACAGGTCAGGGATGAGTGCACTTTGGGAGGGATTTGGTGGTTAATAATGGGAAAGAAATATGCAGTAATGTAATGCGTAAGGAAAATATACAAAGAGTAGACAATTTATTTATCAGTGGCAGTCGACAACGCCAAATAAGCCACTTTATATTTTACTATACTTAACTCCCTTCAAGACTAACGATACCATGGAAATTGTTTTACTACGCATTTTTCCATTTATACCCAATACCGCGGGTTTTCGTAATCTTCGAGAGTAATCGGATATGAACGAGGTGAACAAAGTTACAGAGAGAAGTACGAGTATATACACCGACTGATTAAAACTAAATCAACTAGTGAAAAGAAGCAAAATTGCATACCGAAATCATCTTCCGATTGCTGCAATTATACAAGTCTCCTGGCTCTGACAAAGAGGGTGCCTGCAGCAACATGAATATTATATTACACGCTCAGACAACTAAGTGGCTCTGAAATGATTAAAGTTGCTCTGCATCAAAGAAAGTGAAATATGTCTTGATCTGTTTGTTGGGCTGACAACATATCCCACAATTGATCTGCTATAGATTCAAAGTCACAGAGATATTTCAGGTAACTGTGCAGAAGATAGAGTGGCCAGTTAAGGCACCACTTTGCCAATAGATTCCAATAAAAAGAGAACTTATAAGCCTCTGGCTCGTTGGATATACCTAATTAAAAGACATAGCATAGTCTCAGTGGAGGCAACTACTAATTTCTTCATTAAAAAAAAGGTATGTGATGTCATACAACGTTAACCGCAGAATCTTCCAAGAAGTTGGAGTAGCATCTTCCAGATCCAGTTTTTTTTCTGTAAAGACCTCTTTTTAATTATTTATGGTTTCTCGTAGCCCTAAATGCGAGAATTTTACTTACTTTCGTATCCAATGGACATATATACGGTCAGCTGACTTTAAGTGTCTGTAATAAGTCTAATGCGCCATAATAAACCAGGAGGAAGTCTCAGTTGATGAGTTCGTCATGAAATGTACATATTCGGCTGCACCTGCTCCTAGAGTGGCAATATTTGAGGTGAAACTAGGAAAACAATAGTGCTCAGGTCTTGCAATGTCTGTTACCTATACAGTCTCTTCAATTTTTTTATTTAATTCACCTATTTGCTTATGCACCGTAGATCTCTCTTAATGCACAAAACAAGGCAACATTTGAATCATTTCTTTGGTAGTAGGTTTGACAACTTTAAATCATTATTATTGAGCGATCCATATTCATGAACTCAAAACATGACACTTAAGTTTAATAGATGCCAAAATACCGCATACCCATACTTTTAAAATCACTAAATGGATAACCCTATATAATAATTTTCGAATTAAATAACCTTAGCAAGACCACAGTGTGGTTCAGAGAGTTATGGTAGTGAGAGGAGATTCCAGTAGCGAAGGTCTTCACAATAGCGTTCCTAAAGCTCTCGGTGTGTTGGCAGACATTCACCGTACCTAACTAAACTCATGAAAAAATCTAAATAACAGTTAATTAATAAAGAATTCCAAATGCCTTTCTGAAATATTTCTAGACTCAGAATTGTACCAACTTACAAATTAACGTCTTTACAAAATAAAAGAAGAGCATATTTCCCAGAAAGAAAAATAATATTCTACTATAACGTCCTTATGGCTTATGGATTTTATTATTTATTTTTCTACATTTCACCCTAATCAGAAGTGGCTGCGTTTTAAGTGAAGACCAAACAAACAAAACATTCCATATACAGCAACAACGCTTGCGTATAAAGCAAAGAATCTGGCATTATTTCGCTGATTATTTTCATTTTACGACTCTAATTCTTTATTTATATTTTATATGTTTCTTTTGTTTACGACTAAGATTACATAAAAACAGCGAAAAAAAATAAAAACACACTCATTTACATGCAGATTTCCTGTGCTGAACTGTTTGAGAATGTAATGTGTGTATGTATATTTGTAATCTCACTAAAAAACCCATAAAATATCCTTAGTAATCCCCCATGCATATACATATATGTATGTACATATATATAGAAATCCATATCATAAGTATTTCAGCGCCAACAAACGGTAAGTAAATGAGTTCAACAAAAAAGAAACGAAACAAAAAAAACATCGCCGTGAAATTGGTTTTGAAAGAGGCAATAAAATAAAAATGCCAAAAATTCAAATGTTATTTCATTACATTTGTTTTTAATTAAAAATGACAGCGACAACAAAATACAATGCCCAAAAAAAAAAAACCAGTGTGACTGAAACAAAAGAGCAACATGAAATTCGATACAAAAAGGCAGCGGTGACTTACCAGTGATTAGAAGCATGAAGCTGAGCAAGAGCTGCTCGATATCCATGTTGACACCGGGATGATGATTGCAGGTTGCTATTGGAGTTACTTTGAGTTTTATATTAAATTAATTTTTGAAATTTTCACCACGTGGTTCGTTCTTTTTTCGTAATAAAATTTGCTTTATGAATTTTTCACTGGAATTTTAATGGTTTTCCCGTTTCATATGGTCTGCGTACTCCCTGTTGATATGTAAAAAAAATTGCCTTTTTTTTTTGTTTATGGTGTTTTTTTAATTAAAAAATAAACATATTTTTCACACTCTTGCAACTATAAATTTCAATTTGCACTCTTTTGCTCAAATGGTTAAATTAAAATTTTTTCGAAGATAAAATTAAATTTTATAGCGCACAGAAAACGTAAATTAATTTCTCTAATTGCGGTCGCCCATCGGCAGAGAATGTCAAGCACTGCGAGTGACACCATATAAAAGCTCCTCATAAAAAACCATCGGCTGTTCGAAGATGACATTGAATAAGCTTTGTCCTTTCAATCGAAGAAGCAGCTCCGTAATTAGTTATGATATCTCCTTCCTGCTTAGCTCGACGTCTAATTTTTTTTATTTAGAAATCCCCTTCAGTCTTTTATACATAATATACAATATTTCCCGACAAAAAAACTAAATTTTTTCCGTGAAACGTTTAGTATCTTACGCTTGCCCGCAGTATAGAGCTAATCTTTCAGCTTCCCACGATTTCAGGCTCCGCGGGCTATTTTATTGACGTTAAAATGTGACGCTATAACATCGAAAGACTTTTGTTTTACACTGTATATTGTAAACTGGACCTTTCCATGGCCCGACATTTTCTCCTTAACCCTGAAATATGTCGGAAGTATGTAAAACATATCTAAGCTTAACGTTCAATCTCCTATTATGACTAATTTAATTTGGGTTATGAGCCGTTTCTGAGTAAAGTCTTTCAGTGGAAAGAGTGTGTGGCTCCCATATAAATATAACAACTGTGATAAGAGTAAACTATTAAATGGTGGCCAAATAAATTGATCACTGTGAAATAATGTTAAGCCTTCTTCTGCATACATTTGTCTTGTTGAACATTGCCATTTCTATGTTGGTTGGTGGAAAGAGACAGGTTAAGGACCTGACTGCAAGCGGCCGCATCTAAGCCATTGTCCAAGCTCATTGTGCTCCCCGTGTATTCTAATAAAGCGTTTGCAAAAAGTTTGCTTGATTTTGTAAATTCTTTAAGTTTCTTTCAACTACACGAGCGCACCTTCGTGAGGTTAGAGCTGGGAATATCGTGGAAGATCTCCAGTGTTTCGTCATCCACTGTGAATGCTCTGTACACCGCAGATTCTACTATGTCTAGCTTAAACTTTTTTTGATTGAAAAGGCAAAGGTAAATGAGGAACACATATCAAAAAAATATAGATTGGATGGGCGACAGTAAAACAAGCCAGCCTGCGACAAAGACTTCAGCAAAGACTTTTTGTATTACTTTGATTCATCTTTCTCAATGAATAGTTACAATCTAACTTCTCCATTTCATCTACTGTTAATTGAAATCAACTTCAAATAATGCTCATTAGAGATAATGCATTTTTGACAGCGCTTCTTTCAGTCTCCGAATTATTCCCCTGAATACGATCTTATAGATAGCCTTAGCTCTTTAAGCGGTGTAATTTTAATATCATCTACGTGTGAAAACATTTTTTTTTAATTAATAATAAATAATAAAAAAGCCATACGAAGACTTATTTTGCGAATACATTATGGCTTTTGGCCAAAAATTCAATAGTAAGCAGGTGGATTATCGTGATTCGCAAACCAAGAACTATTGTATCACATACCCCTCAGTTTTTTTCTTTATTAACTATTTGACCAGGTGACAGAAATTCAAAGTGTACATATCCATTAATTTTTTTATACCCGCCTAGGTCTAACAAGAGCAGAAAATGTAAAGAACGTGTGGAGACAGTAATGCAGGTTAATCATCTATGTGATTCTCAATGGGTCATTCAGTTTAATCTAATTGGACATATATAATATATATAGTGCCTGGTGTGACTTAGGTCCCTGCTCTGGTTTAATTTTCTTTCTATAAAATCTTCTAAAAATAGTTCAGTCCTTACCAACTACAAAATGAACTATATAGTAAGTCGTTTAATTATTTTCATTAATTACGTATTATACTACTGACTTCAGTTACGTCTATGCACTGTAAGTCTACAGCCCTTACTCGTTTTATATAGTCTAAATGAGATATTGACATTTATTCTGAATACAATAAAAAAATCATGAAAACCACACATCTTGACATCATTGCAACATTTCAAAAATCAGTCCGTTGGTGATTGCCTTCTCCAGACAGCGGTTCATGGTGAATTTTTGCTTGTCAATCCCATCAAACACACGATAAAAACTGCCATTCAATCACAACTATATTCGAGTCATGTAGCTTAAAGTGATCCACTTTCCAACACCAGTCACCATCGCTTCAGAAGTGGGTCGATTTTTTACGGTGCTGGAGTCATTTGCAGATGGAAATTCGGTCCATGAGGTTTTTCTCGTTAACCCATGTACCCACCAATATATCGAGTTTCTTTATGAAACCACCCTTTTTCAAGTGCTTCCAAACCATTTCTTGTACGGTTCGTAGTGAGCGCTACCGTGAAATGATATCAAACTTTTTTTTTGCTCAAACCGCAAGCTCTTGCATGACTTATGGTTTCAACAAAACGATGCCACGTGCCACACAGCACGCGTAACAAGGGACTTATTTAATTTATTAATTTTCAATTGGCCGCCTAGATCGTCCAAATTAACGCTTTTAGACTAATTTTGTGAGGCTACGTTCAATCCAATGTCTATACAGACAAGCCCGCTTTAATTGACGCATTGGAAAACAACATTAAAGCATTTATTCGTGCGATACCGGCCGAAATGTTGGACACAGTATTGTGGGTTGTGAAGAGAGATCGAAGAGTTGGACTAAGCGGATGGACCATTTGAGGCGCAGGCACGGTTAAAATCGATTCGATTTATCGATTCAAATAAAGGTTTCAAGCTAACTTTCGTATAGCTCTTAAAAATTACCTTTTATGTAACTGACTTCATTGCAAATGTAATTTAATAAATTGATTTTAGTGTAGTTGATGTGTAAGTAAACATAAGGATAACAGATATTTATGTCTTGGAACACAACCAGTCAGTAAAAGCTTTTGATGGCTTCTAGCCCTCTAACATAGCCCTCTAACATAGCCCCTCAGCTTCCCCCTTCTCTAAGTGTATACACATTTCATTCAGGAGTTTAAGCAAAAACCTACACTTTTCGATAAACAAGCTTATAAACACTTACATTTTTACACATTCAGACTTATTTGTATGCACGTTTTACTGTACTTATAAACTTATTTTGTAAGTGAACGCTCCTAATGCATACCATCTGCGCGTATACGCTTCCGCTGCCGCCGAGTTTATCTCATTCGCTCCTTTTGTTCGTTCCTCCGCTCGCTCACTGCCTGGTTGGCTGCCTGGTGGGTTTCGCATGTAAATAAATAATTTACATAATATTACATGGCCTTGAGCGCAGATTAGTTGTTGTTATTTTTACTCACATACATACATAATACATTGTATGCATAGATTTTTCTACCTCGTTTATCTTTGCATATAAATATGTTTGTCTTCTGTTGGTTGTCTTGCAATTTTCTGACGCTTTTACAAATTATTTTTCATTAACCTGCCTCCCCACTTCTTTGTTCACCTTTTGTTAAAGCCTGTCTATCTATTTATTTTGATTTTATTTATATTCAGATTCCCTTCCAGATTTTATGGCTTCAATCATACTTAAGCATATTTTTAAATAATTCACCTATTTCGCTGTACATTCGTTCTTCATTATCTGCCAAAAATATTAAGCGAAAGCTTTTCACCGTTGGTTAGAAAGTTTGTGTGGTTAACACTAGAAATTCTTCGTGGAATATTTTTAAAGGCGAAAAATTGAGTTCATGTAAATGAAAATAATGAAAAAATAATTAAATTTCATTTTTATAAACTAAAGTTAATCATTCAGGCTTCTATTTCTATCAATAACAGCTGTTTATACTCTAATGACATCTCTCGATTAGTAAAGAAGTATTTTTTTGGGGTTAACACAGAAGAAGATCTAATCTTGCTTGATGCAGTCGCTATTAGTGAAATAACCAATTTGTCACCCAACATCATGTAGTATTTTTTTCTTTTTTAATCGCTTACTCAAGGAGCATAGATGCTAAGACGCAAGCAGATCAGATAACAAGATATATTAAGCTCATTGAGATTCTATTAAGATGAAATAGTGGTTTGGTTCTGTTCTCCACGAAAATCGGCCAAGTCTTTCGGGTTACTTTGCATGATATATTTTACCCTACCATCTGCTGTTGGCTGAGGAGCGAGGTATGCAAAGGTTTCCTTGGGCTGAAGCGATTCTAGCAAGCTTTTCGTAAGTTTGTTTGAAATTTCTCTTCTTCTGACCACCGGAGAGTCCAAATCATTCGCTACGGAACACATTAAAAGAGAGTGAGATACAAACGCTTATTGATTTTTGTTTTTGTTCTTTTTTTTTTCAAATATTAAATTTTTACAAATCGTCTTGAAAGATGTCACCCCCAAGTTGTTTTGATAACACCCAAAAAAATATATATCTTTAATTTTTATTTCTGTTGATATACAAAACTGTTGTGTGTACAATAAATTAAATAACAAAAAACAAATGCTTTTGCTTAAGAAACTCTGTTAAATAATCTATACATGTGTTTAAAGGTTTTTACCTACCATGATAATCATTAAAAAGCTTTTGGAAAATATTATATGAAACAAAATTTTTAGTAGCTTGTGAGATAAAGAAAGCTCTCAAAAGGGAAACACTTTTCAAATGATGAAAGCTCCGTAAAAGATGAAAGCTCCATAAAAGATGAAAGCTTTTCAAAAATTTGTGAAAGCACTGTTATCATTATTTATTTCATTTTTAGAAACACAAACATACATAATTAAGATAATCAAAGCTCTAAGGAAGTTGAAAAAATTTTAATTGCTTTTAAATTTTAAAAGCTATATAATCATAAAATGTAAATGATAAAAGCGAATTTTTACCTTGAAA